GCCTTTTGTTATGTATCTCTGAAAACCATCGCTTTCTTTTCGTCTTTTTTTCTCTTTTTTTTTGTTATTTTTCAGCATTATTTGTGTGTATGTGTGTTTTCCATGTGTGCGTGCTTTTATGTGTGTGCTTTTGTGCATGTGTGTGCTCTTATGTGTGTATGTTTTTTTGTGTGTACTTTTATGTGTGTGTGTTTTTGTGTGTGTACTTTTATGTGTGTGTGTGTTTTTTGTGTGTGTACTTTTATGTGTGTGTGTTATTTATGTGCGTGTTTGTTTGTATGTGCGTGTGCTTGCGTGTGCGTCTGTCCATCGGTCTTCCTTCTAAACGTCTTCCAAATCTCTAATCCTTCATTTTCACTTCCCTCTCTTCGCCCACTTCCCACCGCTCCTCCCGCGGCGCCCCGGGATCCTGCGGCCTCCGACGCGCCTCCCGCAGCGGCTGCAGATCTGAGGCGGCGGCGGGTCCTTCTCTCCTCCGCTGTCTTCCTTCTGCTTTCTCTCTTTTCCTGCTCCTCTTTCTCTTCTGCTTTCTCTCATTTCCTGCCTCTCTTCCTCTTCTGCCTTCTCTCTTTTCTTTTTTCTTTCTCTTTCTGCTCTGCCTTCTCCCTTTTCTCTTTTCTTTTTCTTTCTCTTTTTCTTCTGCCTTCTCCCTTTTCTCTTTTCTTTTTCATTCTCTTCTGTCTTCTCCCTTTTCTCTTTTCGTTTTCTTCCTCCTCTACCTTCTCCCTTTTCTTTTTTTCATTCTCTTTCTATTCTGCCTTCTCTCTCTTCTCTTCTCAGTCTCTTTCTCTTCTGCTTTCTCTCTTTTCTCATTTCTTTCTCCTCTGCCTTCTCTCTTTTCTTTCTCTTCTGCCTTCTCCCTTTTCTTTTTTCTTTCTCTTACTCTTCTGCCTTTTCTCTTTTCGTTCGTTTTTCTATCCCATTCGTATTCATCTTTTGTTTATTTTTGGTCTGTTGTGTTTCTCTCTCTCCTCCTCCTTCTCTCTCTTCTCTACTTCATCTTATCGCTCTTTCCTCGTTGTTTTTCTCTTCTCCGCCTCTTGACTTATTCTTATTCATTCCTCTCGTTCGTCTTTCTCGTTTCTGTTTTCCTATCTCTCTTTTCCCGATGCCTTCTACTTGTTCGTCTCTTTTCCATTTTATTTGATTTTTTTCAATTTGTTCAATTATCTTTTATCACTCTTAATGCGGCACAATTTTCCTCGTCACCTTCCGTTTCACTGAGCTTTCCTCTCCTCTCCTTTCTCTCTTCCTTCGTGTCCTTCCTATCTCCTGCTTTCTCTTATTCCCTTGACATTAGGAACCTTTATTTCGCACGTGACCTCTTGTTCTTTATTTTATTCCTTTTTTTTCGTATTTTTTCCCGTTAGACTATTTTCTTTACCCAATCCCCAGTTTTCATTTTCTTTCTTCGTCTTTTCCGATATTTATTCTTTCCGTGCCTCCTCTCCCTCCTCCGTCTCTACTTCTCCTTTTCCCTCCCCCTTTTCCTCCCTTTCTTCTCACATTCCTTCCTTTTCTTCTCTTTTTTCTTCCTCTTCTTCCTCCTTTTCTTACTCTAACTCCTCATTCACCTCCTCTTCGTTTTCCATTTTCTTTCTTCTTCTCCTCTTCCTACATCTCCTCTTTATCCTTATTTTGCTCCTCCTCCTTTCCATTTGATTCTCTTCCTCCTCTTCCTCCTCCTCCTCCTCCTCCTAATCCTCTTTTCCTCCTCCTCTCCTCCTCCTCCTTTTCCTTCTCCTCTTCCTCCTCCTCCTCCTCTCCTCCTTCTTTCTTTTCCTCCTCCTCCTCCTCAAGCTCCTCCTCCTCCTCCTCCTCTTCTTCCAGCTCCTAATTTTCCTTCTCCTCCTCCTCCTCCTTCTCCTCCTTTTCCTCCTCCTCCTCCTCCTGCTTTTTCTCAGCCAGCTCCTCCTTTTCCTTCTCCTCCTCCTCTTCCTCCCCCTCCTCCTCCTCCTCCTCCTCCTCCTCCTCCTCCTCCACCTCCTCCTCCTCCACCTCCCCCCTCCTCCTCCTCCTTTTCCTTCTCCTTTTCCTCCTCTTCCTCCTCCTCCTCCTCCTCCTCCTTTTCCTCCTCTTCCTCCTCCTCCTCCTCCTCCTTTTCCTCCTCTTCCTCCTCTTCCTCCTCCTCCTCTTCCTCCCTCCTTCTCCTCCTCCTCCTCCTCCTCCTCCCTCCTCCTCCTCCTCCTCCTCCTCCTCCTCCTCCTCTACCTCCTCCTCCTTTCCTCCTCCTCCTCCTCCTCCTTCCCCTTCCTCCTCCTCCTCTCCTCCTCCTCCTCCTCCTCCTCCTCCTCCTCCTCCTCCTCCTCCTCTTCCTCCTCCTTTTCCTCCTCCTCCTCCTCCTCCTACTCCTCCTCTTCTTCTTCTTCCTTTTCCTTCTCCTCCTTCTCCTCCTCCTCCTCCTCCTCCTCCTCCTCCTACTCCTCCTCTTCTTCTTCTTCCTTTTCCTTCTCCTCCTTCTCCTCCTCCTCCTCCTCCTCCTCCTCCTCCTCCTCCTTTT